GAAAGTGGAAAAAGAAAAGGTGGGGGTGGGGTCGGGAGCAGTTAGGACTTGTGCTAGTTAAACCTGATCTCTCCAGGGATTTGTTTTTCTCCTGGCTTCAGATTAGGTGTTCAAATCAAGCAGTATGTGAAGACTATGAGGGAATGTTCATGGGACTCTTAGTGAGGCTAATCCTGGAGCACCAGGACATTCCAAGGGGCCAATCTGCCCAAGTTCATTGCTTACTTGAAATGTCTCTGGGGGAAGAGGCTGGCAAGTGACTTTTTTTTTCCAGTGGGCGGTCATCCGAGCATTATTAACGGGATGGCCAGCCCCGGTCACAGCAAAATGAAAGCAACAGAAGCTGTGCAGGGGGACTGCCTTGCTACCAGCCAGAGTCAGAGCGCAGGTAAATGATTCCAGCTAACTTTTCTCTTGTTTGACTTGTCCATGTTGGATGTGGGGACTTAGAGAAAGACTAAAAGGACTCATGGGGGGTAGGGGGATGCAGAGAGAAAACAGAGGGGGAAGTGAACATATATTTTGGTATTTTGTTCTAATGAAGACTGGTTGGCCTCTTGAAACTGGAAACTCCAGTAGACGGCAAGCAGTACTCAGAGCTGTTCCTCGAAATTCCTTTGGAGAAAGTTCATATACTTTGCTTTTAAAATTGAGATTACCTGTCCGGGTTACTGAGCTGCTAAGTGTGTATTGTAACCCTTCCTTCCTTCTCGGAGAAAGGCTGGAGTCTACAGCTGGTAGGGAGGTTAAGGGAAGACCGAGCGAAGTTGCTTGTGGTTTAATGTCAGTAGCAGAGTCTGGGTAAAACGGAGTTTAAGTGAAATGACTTAATGTTTCTTTTTGTATAAGGCAGTATTTACAGGTTTGTTTTGCTTTCTTTCTTAGTATTTTATTGATTACATGTTTAATTTTCAAAAATAGCTCTTGGTTTTATTCCTTATTATACCTTGTTCAAAATGCAGACATTCTGTTTTGAAAAAGTTGTCCTTTAATTATTACCCTTTGAAACCTTTTCCCTATGGCATATCACACATGGCTGGTAGTGCAGAAAGACAAGAAAAAATTGGCACCTGAAAAAGTCGGTATGGCTACCTGACCAGTCTACCTCCAGAAAAGACTATCCAGAAGTGCTTTGCTGAGGGCGAATAGGGCCCACCTTCCCTAGGAGGACAGGAGACTTCTGTGGCATAATTTAAAAGCAAAGCTACTAGGGCAAACTCTCCATTAAGTTTTGCATTAAGAGAGAATTAAAAGGTCAGCAGGAAATGCATGTCCGATTTATTTCATGCTTTCTAACAATGAGAATAATCGTTCCGTGTTAACTTAGTTGGGTGTTGGAACAAAGTCGAAAGCTTTGTGCAGAGAAGTTCAAAGCCCTTAAACAAAAGAAAAAGGGAATTCATTTAGGCAACAAGTTAAATCATGATTGGATGTCAAAATATGCTCTTTCCAAAAAAAATAATTTTATAATTGAGTATCTGTCCACACTAATAACCTAAATAAAAGCACAATAAAGCCAGTCCTACAAAGGAGCAGAGTCAATTATGCATATTTTGGAGAATTCCTAAGTGGTCTGTTATGCATGCATTCTTCCTATGATGAATTATACTTGTCTCATAAATACAAAGTGTCGAAGTTTATTATGAATGATGAGAAGATCTTTTTACCTCACCTCTCTTTTCCTCCCGATTGTGCCTTGGCAAGGGAACTGATTAATCTGCTAAAACTAAGGAACATAAGTATGTTCTCATCCATTCACTCACAAGGAGACTGATTTTCTTCTTTGAGAACGTAATTAAGTCGCTAGACTGCACACAAGTCAAATCACCTTCCACTGAAAGACTAACAAACAGACAATCCATATGGAATAATTTTTTCTATGCACCATCTCACTGAAGCTTGCAGGAACCCCAAATTGAAACTAATAATAACAATGTCCTGGAAGAGTTGGATTCATTCTGGCACGTTCCCTCCATATTCTCAAGGTTAAGGTTCTTTTGTAATTCCATTTCTTTGTTGCAGTAGAAATAATAACCTTTAACCCTTCTCTAACTTCTGCCTTATACACTGGGGTTTTTTTAAAGTAGTATCCCATCCATTACCCTGAGAGGAAAAGAAGAACAGTTGGTAGAGAGTTCACCTCTCATCATGTATGAGGGCTGGACTGGGGAGGAGGAAGGAGAAGGAACGAGTCTGAACAGGTTTCCCATATGCCACTAGGAGTCCAGTGTGGTCCAAACACAGAAATAGTCCCAGACATCTCAGAAGGCTCTGTACACATAAAGGACATTCAGAACCAGGACTGTTTCCTCTGGCAAAGCAGTGTATATATATGGAGTAAGAGGAAAGATCATGGAACAAGGCTATTCAAAAATCAAATTGTAGCTTTGGAACTCACTTGTTGTTTCTCTATGGCTCCATTTCTTCATTGATAAAACAGATGTAGTAGTGGTTCTTCCCCATCAATGCTCATAAGTGGATCTACGTACATGATGGACCCTTAACAACTGTTAGCCTTTATGAGTCCTGGTGAGCTCCTACTTTGTGCTAGATATGTAAGATGAACTACTTGTTCTGATTTTCACAAAACCCTCCATAGTAGCTTAGGATTTATATGCTATACATACGATTGATAGAAGGCAAGAAACTGTTCTTCATATCTTATTAGTGGCCAGTCCAGTGCTCTATGGTCCAAACATCGGGGTGGCTATTGCTACAAATATCTTATTGAACCTTCATAGGAACTTCCATAGGAATTTATAGTATCAGAATTAGCCCAGAAGTCTGTCATGATAGTAAATGCCTTACTCTTGGTACTTGGAAGGCTCAGGATAGTTACTGCTCCAAGCTCAAGGCCAGCTAGATTTCAGAATGATTACTAGGCTAGCCGGGGCTACAGAGTGAGAATCTGTCACAATAAAGAAACAAACAAGCCAAGATCAGTCTCTTCCTGAAGTCATTCCCGGTACTCCCCAAATAATAACCCAATGTATCAAGCATTATCATTGTACCCAGTATACAGATAGGAAAAACTGAGGATAAAAGAATTCCCAACTGCTCTCATCTACCAAAGTCCCACTTGAGCTCCTTTCTCTGCTGTAGACTTTGCATCCCACACATGCTGCTTTGCCAACTCCTTGTCCTGGAAGATGAATCAGCATTTACTGAAGCCAGCAGATGCTTCCCCCAAAAGATTCTTTTGAAGGCCAGCCAGGATGGGATACAAAAGTACAGTCTTTCTTTGCCGTTCCCTAAGGTGTAGGGAAAGTGGGTCTCAAATATCCAGTGAGGGATGTCTTACCTCTTTTTGCCAAGAGATAACATCAACAAAAGTATTCGGTGTTTCAGCACCATGGCCTTTGTATGAAGAGTTTAATTTACAGGCTTTCCACAAAGATAAAGACTTGTTATCTTTGCTGCCCAGCTCATTTCTGTGCAGAGATAGAGCCAGTATTTTTTTTTTTTTTTTGCTTCTGCTTGGAGAGGGAAATTCTTTGAGAATAGATTTTTTTCATGTCTAGCTGCAAACGAAGTTATAAATGCCTTCTGTGTGCATGAATGTGCAGTGGTTCACCTGAACCTGGAGACCTTTGAGGCAGTGTGGGTTGCTCCTTTAAATAAAGACAATGGAGGGAAAACAAAATTTAAGTGACTCAACTGTGATCATTCCTGTAACAAAATCGTCTCTTGATGGCCCTCAACCATCCTCCGTGTGGCCATGTTTAGAGTATTCATTATATTAGTATTAAAGAACTATTGCTATGGATGTCACATGTACAAACAGACCTCCATTGTATGAGATCAAAGGAAGAAGTGTAATCCAGAATGTAACAGGGTCAGACAGCACTTTATGTCCAGAGAATCAGGACTAATTGCATCCAGCAAGCAGGAGCTGGTAATAATTCCCACCAGTGATTGACACAGGTCAAGTAAACAGCTCAGTTGTGCCTTGGGCCAGAATATTTTAAGAATATAAATTTAAGGGTGAGAGTGAGATAATATCATGAAATGGCTATGATTTTTTTCCCAGTAACTTCCATCCTAAATAGTTAGGAAAAGAATCATCTGAGAAGCTTAGTGGGTTTAGTGAAGACTTCTCTACTATTTCAAATGCTTTTGAAGAAAAGGGTCCAGGGTCTACAGTCTTTTGGTACCATGATGAGATGTTTTTCATCTATAAATGTATGGGGCTTCATTCATAGTTATTGTGGGGTAATATGGACTACAGCCCGCAGCTTGTATATGCAGGATAAACACTACTTCGGGGTTGGTGGGGAGATCCTTCAGTTTGATGAAACACCTTGTTCATCTTGAACCACATTTTGACAGCAGGGTTTCTGAATGGATGGTCTCAACAATAGCTTTTCTTAGAAGGCATATTTCTTTTGCATGTATGTAGGATGTGAGGGGGAAATGTGCCCATTCCCTTTCCAAGCATTGCCTGGAAACATCGAGGCTCTGATTCCATGTGTCCTCCTTGTCTTCCCATTTCCTTTAATAGCTCGCTGTTCCTCTGTATCACAGACTTGGATTTTAGGGACCTTAGTGATGTAGGAGTTGGAGTCATGCACACCCTCCGCCATCTTGCTTTCCTTCTGTGAGGAAAATCTAATGGAAGCCTCAACCATGAGAACCTGATACTGAGCTACACATGTTTCCTCTGGCATTTGAATCTTGTTTTTATGTAAGATTATAAATGTCATGTTCTGCTCCTTCAATTTCATTTTCTCTATGAATAGCTTAGTGTTTCTGTCCTTTAGAAATCACAATGAACATGCTTACAGTCCTATTATTAACACTTTTCCAGCCTTTCTATTTCTTTTGTTCTCAATGGTATAATGTTAACCCAATCAGCAGGTTGGCTAGTTAGATGATCTTCAATGGGGAAGCCATTTACGATATACTAGTGTATTGTGTGATTACATGACGTTGCTGCCTAGTCAAAAAGATTTAAAATTTATATTCATCTTTCTTTTTTTCTCTCTTTCTTTTGGTTTCAGGCTCAGAAATCCTGGATTGAAAGAGCATTTTATAAAAGAGAATGTGTCCACATCATACCCAGCACCAAAGACCCCCATAGGTAATCCGTTGTCTTTAATGTATTAAGAATGTAAAAGAATAATTATGGGGATAGAGTACAATTAATATTACACCACACACTGCAATGGAACCACTGTCAGATTAAATATATTTTTGAAGCAAATATATATTGCACTGATTAGTATGCCTCAGATACCATTAATGCACGTCAGTGAAGTATCTGTATACAGTTACCATCATAGAAATAACTGATTGCTACATATAAAAGTATTCTATGTTTTGTTACAAATACTTATTTTTTTCATCTAATTATTTCGCCAGACTGTTTCATATGTACCGACAGGCCTTGCTAAAGTACAAAGACAGTATTGAATGAAAGACTGTCTTAATTGGGGTTTAGACCTGGAGATTCATCTACACATTTGGGGGAGGGGGGTAGTAGGAGGTAGAACTGTAGTAACCTTCCAGAAAATCAGCAGTATATAAAGCAGGAAGGTAAAATAGTACATCATCCTCTGGAAATGCCTTTTTGAACGGGCAATTTTAAAAGATGGCTTAAAATGCAGATCTCACAGCTATAGACTAGACACATAACCTTGGATACATTGTAACGTTCGGAGCTCTGATTGTTTTGTCATCAGTTGCTAGTGTTGAAGAGAATGGTAGCTGTGCGTGTAACTATCATTACTAATAATTGTGATAATGGCTGTTATAACACATGAAGGACATTTTGATGACAGATGGAACAAATTTTAAGTTTCCAATTTTTTCCATTTCTTCTTTAAAGAAAAACCTATAGATTTTTTTATTCTCAGAATTGAATATTTGACAGCAAATATCAGTCAGGGAGACAGGTTGGACTGTGACTCACATCTAAGTGAGAGTCCTCATTTAAATGTACATGTTAAAATTCTTCCCTCTAAGCTCTTTAGCATCCTCCACGGAAGATTTGATAGACTGAAGCAGTTACAAGTAGAGAATTCTAGAGAACCTTTGTTCACAATTGCCCTGCCCCAAACAATATGCCAACTACTGAAAGGAGCGGGCGGAGAAAAACAGGAAGTTGTTGATATAGACAAACTGGGTGGTGGGAAGAGCAGTAGATGGGTGCCATGGGAAATTTCCACCCACCATTTATCGGATAAGAATGCATTCTGGGATCTCACTTGCCATGTAATTGGAATGGGTCAACATGGTCTGTGGTTTTCTATAAGGGCTGTCTTAGTGTGTATTCCAACAATGGCTGACAAAAAAAGGTTCACTTTAACCTCTCATGTTATAGGTGTTGCTGTGGGCGCCTCATAGGCCAGCATGTCGGACTCACTCCCAGCATCTCTGTGCTTCAGAATGAGAAAAATGAGAGTCGCCTCTCCCGAAATGACATCCAGTCTGAGAAGTGGTCTATCAGCAAACACACTCAGCTCAGCCCAACAGATGCTTTTGGGACCATTGAGTTCCAAGGAGGCGGCCATTCCAACAAAGCCATGGTAATACAAAAGACAGTTACTCATTCCCAGACATAGTATCACACACAAACTGTAAGTCAACAGCTGAGAGCCTAGGTGATAGGTTTCAGGCTAGCCTGGCCTCTGTCACTTCCCAGTAGAGCGTCTATAAAATAGGAAAAGAAAACCTTCCCTAGGACTTTTTAAATGATTAACATGAGATCAGATGATTAACTGATTTTTTTATTCTGGTTAATATGTATCATTGAATATGACCATGTGGTTCAATGTTGTTTTCATATATGCATACACAGGCATTGGCCAAATCCATCACGTCTTTATTCACCTGCCTCCTGTACCTTTACCATCTTCTTCCAACCACTCTTTCATTCAGATCCACTGTTCTCTCACCTTCACGTATGGGAGAAAAGGGTGATACTTGGCATATTTTCTGCAGTTTTGTTTTTTTTTTTTTACAGTTTGCAATGTTATTTTCTGTGTTTCATCTACTTGGCTTTTTTCTTAAATCTTTTATCCCAGCTTTGGAGAGAAAAAGAATGTTTCCTTTAGGTTTCTGGTTTATTTTATTAGCTCCATTTCCCAGGCTGTTTCCTGCCTGGTCTTGACAGAGATCTTAAAATCCATATCAGGTACATTTTCTCTAAGCAGCTGGGTTAGTGATAGTCTCAGCGGGAAAGGAAAATATCTTTATCGAGGAATTGGTAAACATATAGAATTTTTGTCATGTCGAAACTGTAGTCCGCACGAAATACTCTTGAGGTGACTCACGGACTTTTGAAAGAAGAAAAAGTATAGCATGTATTCTGAGAACTCTGGAAGTTTTATAGTTCAGCAAGCTTGCTTCCGGCTCTTGAACGAGTTAGATAATAAGTGTGAGGCATCTGCGCAACGCTGGACATGTCAGTGGGTGTGAACTAATTTAACTGGCATTATTAATATTCTCATTTCCCCTAGGCTCTAAAAGGAATTGAAAAGGCATTTGACTCATCCTTTAAAGGACGCTCCTTTGATGTATGGCTCTATTAGTTCATACACTTTCATTTACACTTTCAGTCAATACTTGTAGATAATTCTGAAAGAGCAAACTCGGTAGCTTTCTTGCTGACCTTGGAGTCAAAATCCATTGGCTTTTTATTCAGAGCCTGGTGCTGTCACTTGATGGTTGGGTGACTGGCCAATTTAAGCCTAGTGCCTTATTTTCCTTGAGAATGGAATAGTAACTTCTACTTCAGAAGACTGTCTTAGGAATTAACAGTACTTCTGTGTGTTAAGAGCTTTGAATGGTGCCTGATACTAAAATTAACAGAAGTTTCGTTCTGAGGGAAACTCTGTAATTGATCAAAACTAGATAAATGCTCTTGAAGTCACAGGACTAGGTAAATTCTCACTCTCTGTCCTTGTTAAGCCATTTAATTTATAGGAACCTCAAATATTCTGCCTAGAAAGCTGGTAAAGTTTGTGAGGATGAAAGATACTTGATACATATCTAGTGTTCAATATACATATACAATTGACAGAGATAGGTCAGGGAAATAGCTTCCTGTACTTCCTGGAAACCTAAAGGTCCATTAAAGTATTTCCATAGGGACATCATCATTCACATGCCCACCATGTGCCCTGTGAAAACTGTATGAGTGACAGTCACCATCCAGAAAGCAACCTGGAGGTTTGTGAGCTTATGTTTATACTCTGTCTGGCCACCGCAGTCACTCATCCCCAGCAAATCAGAATGGGTCATATTACCTGGGGTCCTTCCAACATTAGTCTTTCAGTTGCTAAGCAGCTACTGCTGCATGACTTTAGAATGAGTACAGCCAAGAGCTCTTCTGTTGGATAACTTTCCTCTATAGGAAAGTCTTTTCATCAGCTGAAAATTTCTGGTGAATTTGAAAGGCCCCCTAAAAACCCAGAGAGCAAAACTCAATGTGTGTTTATATATATGTGACCTTCAAAGTGTTCAGCAAAATTCTTCAGCAATTTATTTAGAGAATAATGGTCATGATCATAAATGAGCAACCACATATTCTGCAATCCCTTCAGATTTCAATTCCCCCATATATATTCAAGACATTATTTTTATAGCTGTAATCAAACACAGAATCTCATGCATGGTTGGTTAGCAAGTATGTCCCACCAGAGTATATTCCAATCCTCAAATGTTAAGAACTCTGGGAAATGGGTCCCAAGCAATACCCTCTCAGCACTGCTGAGTGTTGTCCACATACTATGATGCTGACCCTGAGGTTAGAGTGTCCCCAGGTGGTCTCAGAGCAGTCACTCTAAGGGCAAACCTTTCTTTCTATCCAAAGCTAATTAGCCTAATGAAGACCAGTTTTTCTTTTCATAACTACTGGGTATTTATCTAGTGGAAATCCCCAGCATTCATTCAGACACAAACGAGCATCTTGTGCACTTTGAAAGCTTGCCCTGGAGTTACTCTGCTTCTCTTGTCTAAACAAAGAAGTGGTCCTGTCAGGCCAGAGGCCTCATTTTATGAGGCAGGGGAATGGATGCTTGCCAACCTGAGCCTCCCTTGCTTCTCAACCTCTTGAGCAAACCAGCATGCAGTTTGGACAGAAGGACTTGGCATCCATCACTTTTAAAAGAAGCCAGTCTTCATGAGAGCACTGTATGGTTAATTATTCTCCAAAACTACAGTTAGACAGGCCAGTAAACTTAATGTGCCTTTGGGCTCTTGCTTCTGAAAGGAGTCCTTGAAGTGATTTTCAGCAAAGTCATCAAAACACTCTAGGGGCAAGATTGTCTTTTATTTGAAAAAAAAATTAAGGTAAAATATAACATTAACTTTTTCCTTGAAGGCAGCCCAGGATATAGCTCTAGCATTTTACAAATGCCAAGGTAGACTGCACACAGTGAACCAGGCAGCATGAGGAACAGACTCATTACTAAAATGTCTCTAGTTACTTGAGAGCCATATCTAGGTATCTGTCCTACCACATATATGGGGACAGCACAGACCTTGAAGCATCAAAGACACTTGAGGGATCATAATCAGAAGGCCATCGCAAATTGACTTTATCTAAGATTTACAACTGGAGTCTCACTCCTTAGCCTTGGAGAGAACATGGGTATCCAAAGATCTTTGGATATATAAATGCCACAGTTATGCCACTGTGTAACCAGCCTTGGAAAAACTAAACTCCATTCCTCTACCTACATTATAGATGAGTGAACTGAAGCTCCAAGAAAGTAAGATATTTTACCAGTGGAAGTCCTTCAACCCAGCCTCCTAACATCCCCCATTCCACTCAATACTTTCTTTGTCACGTGTGCCTAGAATAGATGAATCACTGTTTTACTTGAAAGTTATTTGAGGTGATTGAAAGAAAGCAAATTATGATTGGGCTTCTACCTTTTTATAAGGGTTTAATAATTTTTGTAGCTGAATTTTTAAGTCACTAATATTTAATGAGGTTAATTAAGCTTGAAAGCTTCGAGCCGGGAGAACTCTTAAAATTATTAGAATCATTTGCCAAGTTCTTTCAAGAGCTTTGTGGTGTTCAGAACTCAGTGTCCAAGCTTAACCAGCCCCAGGAAAACCAACACTTTGCAGAGAGAAACTATGACACAGGAAGGAACCAGTCCAAGCTGACAGTGAGGAAGAAGCCCAACCTTCTTCCTATTCCGAAATTGCATCCTACCAGCTCATAGGGACATTGCATAGCTCACACATAGGGACATTTCCTAACTTTCAAACTGCCATAGGGCCACAGCAAGATGGCTCTGTCAGCAGATCCGGTGAGGTTTTTTGGAGACTCTTTATCTATTGTAGGCTCCCACATGATTCACAAAGTGAGCAGAATATAGACTTACTTGTTTACAAATCATCTCTTCTAATTAATTTAGAGCTGGCTTGTGGGCCAGGTAAGACTAAACCTAATTAAGGGCATGCAGTTAAACCTCTCAAGCCAGCCACATAAATCTCTTCCGCCTCTCCTCTGCCATTTACTCTGCCTATTAGATCATGTGGAGTCGCTTAGTACAGTTTTCATATAATTTAGAAAATTATCCCTAGCCCTTGTTTGACACTGAAAACTCTAATGAGCCCACAAAGGAAAAAGCTTTGCTCTCTGGGCTTTGGGGGAGGGGAACACACAGTAGGGTGGTTGCTTTGTGGGGACGGTAGCTCAGAGTAGGGAGGTTGCTCCTGTTAGCTTACCATTTGTACCCACTTACTCTTAGAGAGCTTCCAGGTTTGAATTTGAGGTTTAAAAATGATCTGTCTTTGCATTCTGCAGATTTGATCTGGGAATCCTTGCCCAACACACACCAAGTAGGAAATGATTAAATGATTCCTCTTCACACACCTGAACAGCCAATCACTGCACTGTGGCTAACAGGACGCTGCCTACAGCCTGAGAAAGCTAAGGAGAAACCTTGTAAATGCTCCATTGGTTTCCGGTGTGCACCTTGTGGTCTGAAGATTGCCGAGCTGGCAACAGGAACAGACAGTCTGTCTGAAATTGAGAATTAAAGTAGACTATATGGTTGATATTTTCCATTCTAATCATAGATCTATAAGGTAGGAGAAGCGGAACCTCTTGCAGAAAACCATTCCACTTCCTTGCTTGTAGAAAATGCTATGCTAAATAATTCTGACAGAAATTCTAGACTATACTCCATGACCCGTGCATGTGCTTAGTGACATTACATATTAATACCTTAATATCAAGCTTGCCGTTATCAACACTAATCCAATAAATGCCTGATAAATACTGAGAAACTGCAAAATCCATGACACTTTTTACTTCCAAATTTTTGAGGGCCATTAAACTAGAAATTTGAATGAATTTGTTTGAATGCATTAAATGCAATTCCAAATATTTTCTTTCTGGTGAGATTTTTATGTCTACTGAGCCACCATAAGCATTCAGTTCTGGATGCAAAGCAAAAGCTCCGTGGTGTTGGAAGGCTGCTATCAGCAGAATTATCTCAGATGTGACATACTGTACTTGGCTACAGCTTTAATTACAAGTACCCCCTTTACATGTGGCTACAAA